TCTTCTGGTATTTAGCAGGAGTGAGGGAACAAATGCTTTTTGGTATTTCATACTAATAAGGAGGACATATATTGGGCAGGCATTATTGTAAGTTGATTCTCTATGGGTAAATGTGATATCGATTGGAAATCTAAAAAATTGCAAGTGCATTCTAATGTATTCAGCAAATTTGAAATTTTCACAAAACTTAATAAAAAGATACCAGAGAGCATTTTATGAGTAACATATTTTACAACACCTGAATCAAGATGGGAACTAAATATCTATAGATACCACTCATTCACAGGTATCCATAAATGTTAACTATCTGAAATAAGGAGATACAGATGTTCTGTAGCAGCTTTGGGAACTGCACTGCCTTCAGTAAAGATAGGATCATTCCACTACTAATTTCCAATTAAACAATTTAAAATAATGCTTATTGGCAAGCTTGTGTTTCTTCAATATATATATTGAGGACCCTCTAGACACAACATGGGTAAAAAAATATGTAACAATTCATATGGGCTTAATGCACAATAGCCTCTATTTTTTAATACTTCTTAAAGTGTTCAAATTCTTATATTACCTACTCCTTGTAATATAGTCTTAGATGTCACAGTGTGAGCTTGTAGAGCATTGAAATAATATAGATTTCTATCAGAGTATGAAGAGTGGCATTTATTGTCCACAGTGTGTGTTTTCACAGTCTTCAACAATCAGAAAACAATTTTAACATGAGAAATTATATCAGATAAACACCAAAAAGCTACTTGAGTGAGAAACACTGATTTTGCATTAGTTGACATTTACCTTATTTTTGTTTCATTATAATAATCCCTAGGCTCTGAAGATCAAGTTCTCTATGTTGCTAATGATACTGACATCCTGGGTTTTGCATATCCATTCAACTACAGTGATGTTCATCAGCAAATATCACATATTGAACATAATTCAAGGGTAACTGGAATGGATGCATATTTTCAAGGGGACATGATTGTTTGGAGCACTCAATTTAATCCAGGAGGGATTTTCTACAGAAAACTTCACGACAGAGAGAGAAGGCAAAGTAACAGCGGCTTGATAGTAAGTGATCAAAATCAGAGATTACATGGTACAAATTTCTTTCGATTTACTTTTCTGTTCTGGTTGTCTACAGTAACATGCACTGATTTAGCAAATTAAAATGTCTATCTGAGAATGATTTTATTCAAATGGTATACATACGTTTACTCATGTCTTTTCCGTCAAGACTCTGACTGACTTGGTCAAGTCTCTAAGAGAACACAACTGCAGTATTTTAAAAAGTTTACTACAGCGAAATAACCAGGATGTTAGAGACTTGGAAAGATTGTATGCCATCAAGATTTTTTTATTTTAAGAGAGACAAAAGAGGATATAATAGACATAATGTAAGCAACACGTGGTTTAAAGAAAGGCATGAATTTAAATCCATGGAAAACAGAAAATGTAGATAGGCCAAAGACAAGCTTGATTTCTGTAGTGACCGTATAAACAATAATATTGGCAAAGCTATGAAAAACATTTAAAATTAGAACAATAAGTCTTTATTCCTTTTTATGTTGAACTGCATAGTACTATGCTTTTGAATAAGCATACATGTAGTTTTGCACTTTACATCAGAAATGTGGATTTTTTATAACCTAGGGTAATTTCAAGTAGTCTTTACTTGAAAATAAAATAAATGCAAATTGGTTTTTGTTTTGTCTAATATATTTCTACAAAATTCTCAAGGAAGTGTTTCTATAATGCTGTAAATTTAGATTATTTAAAAAAAAATAATTATTTTTTATTAAATGTGATAGCAGAGGTAAGTTGTTAGTTTTTTCTTGGCCAGTAATAAATCAGGTTAGAAATAATACCTGTCAAGCTGTTTCCTTAAACTTAGGAGAGGTTACAGGGATGATCTTAACATCACATGAATGCTTTTATATACTCTGTAGAATAAACAGCAGTAGCAACAGAAGACTAATCTTTCATCTATCATTCAACTCTTACACATCTGAAACCACTTCTAAGTACCTGTCATCCAAGGATATTTCCTTTACAAACGAATGACATTCATGACCTTTGATGTCAGCGGGCAAAAAGCCTGGGGATGTAGACACTGATGGACACTGAAGATACTTTTTCTGTGTCGTGGCATATCTATAGGAAGAGTGGTTAAAAAAACAACCTTTCCCTCTGCCCAGCAGGAGAAGGTTTGGATTTTGTTGCCAGAAAGTATACATAAAGTAAATCTAAAGCAGAAAATTATCCCAGTAGGTCAGGTATGCCATTTGAGCTAAAGGGAAAGATACTTTGAGGACCTAAGTGTGTATGGAAGATATATGGATGGAGTAATTCTACTGTGACATTTTTCTCATTTAAATGTGGCAGATACCAGTGCCTAAGAAATCCAGATAGACACATCTCTGTATTGAGTTCATTTCTAGAAATTAACAGACTCGTAAAGTCTTGCGAAATTAAAGTGTTGGGGTTTTTTGTTGTTATTTATTAATTTTATTTCTTGTTGACCAATATTCAGATGCCTTCTGCAACTGTAAGTGTAGTCCACTGACCCATGACCTCTCTAATGGATCTACACCTTCTTACAGGTCCATAAACCTGAACATAAGTTTCCTTGAGACTTCTTCATAGTTCAGGGATTGAAATTTTCATATCTGATTTGACATTGTGTCCCTGTTTAAAAGAATAAAGATAAAATATTTTTAGAATTGCTGTTATTTTTCTGAAGTACTGAAGTGCTTTTTGCTTTTTGTTTCTCTGTTTCACCATTATGCAAGAGTGCTTTCTAGTCACTTCTTAATTCAAGATTATTGGAAAAATTATATTTTTCTTTATACACCATTTCCCCCTAAATCCTCAGTGCAGGTAGGTGTTCTTGAAGATGCTTCATCCAAGCCATACAAAGCTTTGTTACAAATGTGTATGTGGAAAATACACAGGCTGAGTGTACGTGAATATACCTTGGACGCATTTCATTTATATTTTGGAAGCATTTACTTCTCATTGTGCTAACCTGTTCAGAATGTTTTCCTAGTATTATCTTATTAATACTCAAATATTGTTACATTATATATAACTGATCATTAGGGTAATTGGTTTTATAGTGTTGCTTTAATATTGTCACTTAAATTTGGTTTTGAAAAGCTTGCGAATTCCTTAATTTTAACCCAAGTTTTTTAATGGGTAAGTTTTCAAAGGTTACATTAGAAGTTTTATATCTAGACTTTGATATGTAAATCAGGACAGTAAACTTGAACAAAGTCACCTGCATTTTCAGGTAATTACATTAATGCAAAAATCCATCTCAACTGGAATTGCTCCATGGAATTAGCATATCAAGAGCCTTCCTCAGAGAATAGCTTTAAGTATCTCTTATACTTTTCTGTGAAAAGGGGTTTAAGCTTGGTACAAATTGAAGCATTAAAGGAAACAGTAAATATCAACTCTTCAAAGTTTATTGACAGATGCAGAAGAGGATTGTGTTCCAATTGAGTTCAGACGTACAAGTGAATTGGTGATAACTGGTGCAGGTGTTTACTGGCATAATCCTTTGAGAGAGATGGATAAGTTGTATCTGAGGTGAATTTTCAACACTCTGACTTGCCATTTAAACTAAGTGCTGTTTTTCATGGAAGAGGATACAAAGTTGAACATTAAATAATTGTACCATATAACAGGAAGAAAAACACAGGTTTTCTAATGTGTCCAGTCAGTATATTGGCATCTTGTTCCAGTCCCACTGTTCTGAGAGCTGGTGTTCTAAGGTGGCCCGTAACCACCCTTGTGATACATATCACAAGATAAATCCACATATATATGGGGTTGCCAGGGATGCCCCCTCCCTGGAAGTGTTCAAGGCCAGGTTGGACGAAGCTTTGAGCAACCTGGTCTAGTGGAAGGTGTCCCTGCTCATGGTAGGGGGGTTGGAACTGGATGAGCTTTAAGGTCCCTTCCAACCCAGACCATTCCATGATTCTATACTCGCAACATGTGCCCTAGGGCCCAGTGAAATTCAGTGCATCACTGTGAATGGAAACAATTTCTAGACTGTTTTCTCTAAACAGACTTTTTTGCAAAATGTGAGGACCTGATATCTCTCATTTTCTAAAAATACAAGGTTTCATATTTGAAAACCATGCCTTATAAGAGGTGACCAAACTCTTACGGTTTCTACCAACCTCAGCTCAAAGACATCATAGCTTAAATATGTTCTGGTAATACACACTGTATGAATTAGGTAGGCAATTTAGTATTTAACTAATGTTGCAGACACTAGTTTGGAATCTAAGAAATGCAAAGTTTGCTTTACAAATATTTTCCAGGTTAACCTTAGAAATGTTTTCTGTTACTCCTCTGTTTTATTCTTTTAATTTAACCAACCTGGGTATTTTTTGCCTCATGCTAATGTTAATTATGGGAAAAGATGTTTTTCAAGGACAAAGAGATATTATTTTCTAAGCATTTCCTGCCCAGGTCCATACTTTGGGGTGTCTAGGTACACACCATGATACCATTATTAGAGGAGAGCTCCTGTACGAGTGCTTGCTGATGATTGCAGATATTCAGGCCCAAACAATGTTTAAGGAACATCTGCACTGGTCCTTTCAGCTGTTCACTGATTTAAACAATATGCATCCAACAGGTTTTCTGCTTCTTTTTTTGGTTGTGCTTGTCATAAAAATGTTTTTACTGTTCTTAAAGGTAATCAGGTGAAGTTTTTGTACTTAGGAGACCCTCTCTTTCTTGAATAATCTGATTGGGTTTTTTAAATGATCCTACTTATGTAATGCACATGGTGGTTTGATGAACCACTGCACCTACTGGGCTGCTCATCTGACAAGGAAAATTTTCTGTTTCGGCGAGAAAAAGTCTAGAATTCTTCAAGTATTATATTCTCATTTATTTTTACTGTTCTAATAATATATCATTAGATATTTTACTTTGTTTTTCTTTTTTTAAAATTTCTCTTCTCTTAGAACAGTTTTTATGATCGGCAGCAGTTTTGATCAGAAGTCATCAAGCTGACATGGTCTGTAGTTGTGCAGTTGTTCCTGTATTTTCATCCCTATTCTGTGTGCAAAATCATTCTTCAAAATTAGCATAATCCAAATAAGCTACTAGGTAAAAGCTTATTTACAAGAAGTAATTTTCCTAGGCAGTATGAGAAGATACATAAGACATTAGAAATATGATGTAACTAGGCTGAAACTTAATGAACACAACTGAGAATTACATGGCCATAGCATCAGCTAGTATTTTTTATTATCTTATTTTTAAATCTCTTACACCAGATGGCTGCTTTCCATTTCTTCTGGTTATCTCCTTGTTCATTTGATCTTTAATATGTGCCCTAGCATTACTGGAATTTCACTTCTGTATGATTAAGAATAATAAAGGATCAGTGTTAGTAAGCAACCCAGTCTTGTTCCAGAATCTTTTTAGGACATCCCATTGTCTCATCTTCTTCATCACGTGCTTGCCAGGTTCCAGAAAAAGCAATCTTGTAACAGAGGTTCTTGAACATTGCGAAGGAAGACAAGGGACTCTGCTGTCCCTGATAGCTGCTCTCCTTTTAAAAGAATATTTGGTTCCAGTCTTGTAGGCCAGTGCCATTACCCCTGCCAGTCTCCAGTGTAGTAACTGGAGATCTCCAGGTATGAGAGGCTTCTTGACTGACTATTATCCAGAATTAAAAGGAGTTTGGATTAAAAATACAAGGGTGTTTATCGGCAAATCCCCATATTTTTAGTATCTTGTCTTATGTGAATGTTGCTTGGATAATGTAACAAAAAACCCCCACAGATTATTGCGTGCAGATGCCACATTTCTTGGAGGGTGGGGGGGGAAGTTATTTTTGTTGTATTTCTGGAAGCATATGCTGCCAGTATCGTCATTTTATAATGAAATTATAAATTATATTATAAATTATAAAATTCCATAATAATTATGAAAGTATGATACATTATTTTGTTTAACTTTAAAAAAAGACTGTGACCCTGTTTTTAAAGACATAGTGTTTTGTAAATGCAGTGATTGATTTTGCTGCTTTAATGCTCATCTAAGTAGAAAGTCGGGGTTCTGTATGTCTTTAGACCATGTATTCTATGACATTTTTGCAGAATTAAAGGTTTATGAAGAATGAACTATCAAAATTCACCCTTACAGTCCTGTTATTTCACCTAGAGAATGAAATGACCTTTATTTTATGATTAAAATAGTCTCCAAATGTCTTGTGATATTAGGGAACTCTGACACCTGAGGAAAACAAGTTTATTTTAGAATTTTCTTTCCCGATTTTTAGTTATCTAGTGTAGTAGCATTCCATTACTGCATTTGTCAAGGAATAGACGTTTTTTTTGTTCATGATTCAACTTGATGTCATTATAGGTAAACAGACAAACAGTCACATATTTATTTAGCTCATGTGGGTCTTGAATTTTTTATGATATGCTGCATTCATGCTAGAAAGAGTTGGGTAGTCCTGCTTTACAGATTTTACTCATCTTTGCAGAAATTCTAGTAAACTTTAGATAAACTTGTTCATATATATCTCCTATTTGCAATATGAACTTCTATCCTTGGGACCATTTTTTAGCATCTAGGCCTTAATGATAACTGTGAAATCATGATAGAGATATAACAGTTTATAATTTTAAAGTTATAATCAGTCAAGCCTCTTTTACATACTCTTATTTAATATATTAAATAATAATAATATAATTTAATAATGCATATTTAGTTTTGCATGCTAATATTTAAGCTGAATATTGCACTAACTCTAGTTTTAATCATTGATGTAACACAGCAACAGTTAACAGCAAGGGAAGAGAAACATTTAAAAAATTTCCTTACAGTTGCATACTATTCTTAGTAAGAATACAGAGGTAATTTTATACATTCATTTTATTCTTTTTTCTAAATGAAGTGGTTTTATTTATCCTTGACAGACTGCTGAGCAGCCATACCTCAGGATGGTCTCAGGCACCATTTTCACTGAGGGCTTTGGGATGGGACATCATACCATAGTTCTGCATAGAGTATTATAGCTGTATAATCTTAATTCTTCCTTTTCCTTTCCTTTTGAATTACAGTATGTAACATTTACTTGCTTCAGTAGTAATAGTTCAGGTAGTTCATGCCTAAGTGTCTTTCTCTGAATGTAGATAACCTTAGATTGAGAAAACTGTTTTGAACCATTGACTTGTCCTTCTACATTGACTAGAACTATCAGCAGATCGCTTAGAGCTTGTCACCTACAGGTGGAATTTATGTCTTTCCAATGCATTGTTTTTAAATATTTCACCATATTAAAGGTAAAAGTTACTTAACTGTAAAAAGTGACATAAATCTGTGACTATGCAGCTGCTATAAGAGATCATTTCCATAAATCTGACTTTAACATCTGTTCCTTTTAGTGTCCAGAATTCAAAAGACCTAGGGGCATTGCTGTTGACTGGGTTGCTGGAAATATTTATTGGACTGATCACTCTAGAATGCATTGGTTCACGTACTATACAACTCATTGGACTAGTCTGAGATACTCCGTCAATGTAGGCCAATTGAATGGACCTAACTGTACAAGACTCCTCACAAGCATGGCAGGAGAACCATATGCAATTGCTGTAAATCCTAAAAAGGGGTATGTATGTTTCAGCATTACTCTGTTTTGGTAATTCAAACAAAAATGCTAAGTAGAGTAAGAGAAATAAAATCATGTCTGCAAATGTCTAAACTTTTCCAAGTCATTTACCAAACTTTCCTTGCTCAATTTACCCATACATAAATCAAGATCAGTTATCTCCCATCTTTCAGGTAGGTTGGAAAGTTCACAATAATTTAATATCAGTGAAGTGTTTTGAAGTTCTGTACAGGCATCCAGCTTATATTTTGTGTTTAATATTTTAGGATGATGTACTGGACAGTTATTGGGGATCGCTCTCACATAGAGGAATCATCTATGGATGGTACTCTGAGGAGGATATTGGTTCAAAAGAATTTACAAAGACCTACAGGTATACAGCTTACTCATTTGTCCTAATTCTATGATACTTGCTGACTCAGTGTTCAGTTAGTGCTGAATTCCAGTTTCCCAGTTTGCAAAAAAAAACTTACATACTTTTAAAAATATATATTTGGTTTATTCAGATACATTCACTGATCAAAATTCTTAATTCTGTTTTCAAATGATACATCTTAATATGACTTAGACTTCTGTAACAAAGCTGAACATGATGATTTTACAAAGCAGTAGCAAAGGACTATATATAATCAGTGAAAATATTATTTGTTCAGTAACACTGAACAAGCAAAATTAAGGGAACACCAGTTAGTGTTGAGACACACTTTTTTAAGAAGGTATATGAAATTTCACAGCCTATTCTAGTTACTTTCCTGAATACAGTGCAAAATACTATAAAATGAGGTTTAAGTATTCAAAGAAGCAACAAAATTATCTCAGTATTTTACAGAACTATTCTGAAGCTCGACAGTGCATGTTGAGATCTTATGAATTATCGTTAAGACTCCATTGGCAGGGTAAAAGTAATTTTTATGACAAAGGAAATGATAAATCCAGAATGAAATGTGTCTCTCTTAAATAGCAACATCCCATCTTAAAACCACAAATGATTTGTTCATGACCCGTTTTCTCATGCAATATTAGATGTTACTCCAGGCTTACAAAGATAATTTGTTGTTACTGCATTGCAAATTAGGGGTTGTCCAGCTTTGGTACACATATCTATTGCAACACAGGCTTCTTTCAAGAGGATATTACCTGAATATCTAAACGTCTCAGAAGGTGCCACTATCACAGCCACAAGTAATAATATTTTCACAGACTGTTAAGTCCCATGCTAAGGTGGGCTTATGGTGTTGCATATGCAAGTTATACTCATCCCTTAAAGGAAATACTCTCTCTTTATTGACATGATTAGATTGAATTACAGCGACTTAAGAATTTACATGTGGGATAAGGAAAGCTTTGAAGAGACGAAGTTTATGCTCCTTAGGGAAGTAAGAAGTACAATAGTAATAATAAATAATAGTCAATAGTATATTCATTAAGAAGCTTCTGATTATTCAGACTAAAAGACAACAGAATTTTATTTTTTTCAGAGTTGTTGCATATTCTTTGATAATCTTACATAAGACATTGTGAACATATCAGATACACAAATCATTAGATTTAGTTCTAATTGCTGGAATTGTGCTTTTTTGTCTCTCCTTATTGGTCTGGTTGATTGCCAAGGTTATGTCCTATGGAGTCAGTCACCACTTCTTTGGTTATTAAAGGGCATTTAAACCCTTTTTATTAAATTTTATAAGCAGTAATGGTATCAAACTTATCTGAAAATGAAAGTATTTATTCTTCCCTGACCAGAAGCAGAACTGCAAGAGCTTTCATATTTTTATAAAATTTTCCTTGATATATTTTATATAGAAAAGTTCCATATAAACATTTAAACAGACCTCTGTGTCCTTACAAGAATGAATACAATTAAAATTAAGAAAATTAGCAGAATTACCAAAAATGAAAAGACTTTGCAAAGAGGGAATTTCACAAATGCCTTGCCCCAGTATTGCATTTTCCTGTACCTACTGCCTGAAAACACTTTTGTGGCATTCTTCTGTGCTTTTCTTCCTTTACTTCATGGTAGAAAGTAGACAGTTTGGGTTTTTTTTCAGATATTTCACACAGATCCATTTCTTTCTAGAGGGAATGCAAAGAAAGAGTCCAAACTTTTAATATTTCCTCCCAAATGAGACTTTACTAGTATTGTTTAGATGTCTTTCGCTGAACATCTGTGTTCCAGTGCTGTTAAATTTATTACTAAATATGCCTTTCCTTTTTCAAGTAAGAGAGTGTGAGAGTTCAAGTATTTGGTCTTCACTTCACAAAAATCACTAACACAGGGGTGCTATATGTAGAAAATAAAAATAAGTAGTTTTTTACGTTGTGTTATCTCTGATACTGTGAAAGAGACATTGAGAATGTTATTTATTTATTATTTGATATTTAAATATTCTTACTAAAATGCAAAGCATAATTTAAAGCTGGAGACTGGGGACTGCTTCTAAAATATTCCCCCTTACAGGTACCATGTATCACACAAAGTTGACAGATTGTGATTATCTTTTAACAGAAATTATTCTCTTTAGCTCTATGCCTAAATACCAGTGTTTCTTTTAAAGAGGTTTGGGGTTTTTTTAGTGGAGTTGCAAATGTAAACATATTTCACTGGTCTATGCGTCAGACTTCCTCCACTTCCTCTCATCTATCTGTAGCTGATTAATTTATAACCTTAAGAGGAGAATTTTTGCTGTTATGTATAATTTCTTTTGATGTATTTTCTCTGACTTACCTACTTACATAAACAGGAATAAAAATACTTTTCCCCATTCTTATTAAAATACACCACAACTTCAAAAGCTCAGAATTAAATTATCTTATGGTTCAAATATTTTTTTTTTTAGGCTGAAGTTTTTGACATGACCTAAAATGGCATATTAATCATTTAATCATCCTCTATGAAACATGGACTACTTGATTTAACTATTTAGGTGTTGCCCAGAGACTGGGTAGTCATGACGTTGCCTATCTTTTAGTCTCATTTGTGCTCTCATTCACTCTTGTGCTGTTTTTTCATATGCATGAGAACATACACATCTGTCAATATTGCTGTCTAGGTCTTGTAACACTAATTTAATTAAAATAATCTGGTTTTTAATTCTGTACTAATTATTACCTGTAAAATATTGGTGATAACAAAAAAAAACCCAAACATAGTTGTATTCTTGTGGAAACAGGATAGGTTAGGAAGGCTCTATGAAATCTGAAAGACTTGTTTTTAACGCGGGGTCACATTGGTGCTACTGCTTAGAAACCTGTTAACATAATAGATTTTTTGTTGGTAGAACAAATTACAGGATTAGATTCTATATTTAATTCCCACCTGGTATATAACTCTCCCTGCTGAGGATAATGGGTTTGAAAAGTTGCTGACCTTGGAAGAGTAAGTTAAAGAAAGTAAAATAAAAAACCCACAGTTGCCTCAAAGGGAGGGTTTACATGGAAAGTGTTATATTTTATGCTCCTTGTTTTCCAGCCATGTTTTTTTTTTTCATTTTCACAGTATTTTCTGTTCACAAGAATAGAATGATATAAAAAACCATACAGTTACATTAAAATATTGCTTTTTTTTTCAGGTTTTATATACCTGTTTGAACTTTATTTTCTTTGTAGGTCTTGTAGTTGATCAGTTCAGTCAGCGTTTGTTCTGGGCCGATTTTGAATTATCTGTTATTGGCAGCGTTCTTTTCGATGGTTCCGATTCAGTTGTGTCTGTGAGCACTAAACAAGGTATGGAGAGCTTTTCTGTAACATGACTTCTATTTTATTTTATTTGGCTGAAGTTTCACTGTTGAGAGAAACTATGTAAGCAAAAAGCAGTAATTATTGAGTAAAATTCATTGCTTTTTTAGATAATACTTCAGATATTACCTGAACAAATTGATATTTAAGATAATTTAAGATAATTTTAGCTTTTAGATAATCTGATACAGTTACTTTAGGGGAACAAAGATTTAGTGATATGTGCAAATCTCCAAGACTGTTACCTAATTATTAGCTTAAGTATTATTAAATAACATTGTGATTAATATTTATGCTTGGCCTCACTTGATCTTAAATAGCAACAGGAGGACCTTGACTAGTTAGAAATTAGAGCTGTCTGCACGGGACAGGAATTGTATAGTTTATAGAACAGTTGACCTGAATTCATTCTGGGAAAAGTAATGGATTTGGCTTTCAGGTCAGTAAGTAATCACAGAATTCTGCTAACAGAATGTGAATGAGGAAAGTTCCTTTCATAAGAAAAGAGATTCTGTTTAAAACAAGCTTTGTTTTTATAGAATTGCATGCTGGCTTTTTAGCAATTTGATAATACATGTAACAATTTATGAAATGTGAGTAAAAAAGAGAGGAAACAAAATAAGTTTGAAAGCAGGCTTTTTGGGGCAATTGCTTAGTGGGCAGTTGGTAGTGGAGTTTAATCAGGGTGATACTACATCTAGTGCTAGTGAGTGTTTTAACCCATGATCTGGAATTCACCAGGGCGTTCTGCAAGATACTAAGAAAAATCTCCCATACTCCAAATAGAGCAGGAGCTCAATTTAAAGCAGAATAATCTTATTCTGCTTTAATAGCATTTTATTTCACAACTTGGATCAATATACATGGAAATAGTCATCTCAAGAAGAATCACTTGTTGATTGTAGGGATCTGATTACAACCTCCTGTAACACTGAACTATGCAGATGACTGACAAAAAATTTGAGAAGACAGTAACTCCTCATAATTTTGCTTCCACCTCCTTTGGTTATAGTATTTCATGGTGCCTGGTCTGTAATCTATCACAAAACAAATACATACTCAGTGCTCATGCTTGTGGCTGGTACAAAGACTAAAAGAGCATCCTGGATTGTGTTTTAATGTGTCTCAACAGTCATTTGTATTTTAAGAATAAATGTGAGGTTACTCCTGAAGAAAGGAAAAAAGGCACAGCATTGCTAGTGACCCAGTAAATTTGGGAGTTATAAAAGGGGAAAGTGGAATATAGAGACTTTTTCAAATTCCATATGTAGCTTTTAATACTGAAATGCAAGATCATTGATGCAATGTCACCTTTTGTTTCCTGTTGACATTTTTAGTAACTAAGGAAAAATTAAGAGAAAGAGGACCAAAAGAAAACCGAGGGAGTTTTGAAATTGCTTTACAATGAGACTAAAAACTTCAACTCATTTAATTAAACAACCATAAAATAACGAATATGCATTTATAAATATTTGTATTGAAATAGCTAGTTGTTACTGTGGGATTTCCCTACTTTTCAATATTCAGTCATTTTCTGAATTGTGTGGAAAGCTAATACTAAGCTAGAGATTTTAGTTGCTTGTAGGTTGGAAAGAGTTCTTTTTAAGAAGATGTTTTTAAATGACAGTCTTTGTGGGTACAAAACAAGCTGTCTACATAGTAATATCTTTAGGTGGTAATTGCAAGAATGCAATTGAAGTTGTTATTAAAACAAAGTTGTTCATTATGTGAATATATATTTTTCTTTATTATTCATTTTTATTTAAGGTTTACTGCATCCACATAGAATTGACATTTTTGAGGATTACATATATGGAGCAGGTCCGAAAAATGGTGCGTTTAGAGTACACAAATTTGGCAGGAGCCTTGTAGAATATCTGAGTGTGGACGTTGACAAAGCAAAAAGTGCCTTGATTTTTCACCGCTACAAACAAATGGACTGTGAGTAAGCATAATGACTTTAAACTCAATCTTGCACAACTTCACCTCAGGGCGGGGAAAAGGCAACCAAATTGTACAAATATAAAATAGAGCTTGATTGTACAAACTGAAAATAGCTTTAGTCATATATTTTTATAGGAGTTTAATTTAGCTTTTTTTCATGCATTTTGTCTCCTTTGAAAGGACCTTGGACAAATGCTCGCCTTGTGTATCTGGACTGTAAATGAGATATAAAAAATTAAATTAGAAGCGAGCTGAAAACAAATATCTCTAGCCACAACCATGTGAGGTTTTTTACCAATAAATTTTTTGTTAGTGGAATAAGTTCTATCCTGGTGTGAGTCTTGTATCGCTATATGAGTGAGTGTGTTAACTGACTTCAGGCTGTTGATATCCTGGAAACTGGAAGTATATCAACATTCTTATATCTGAATATTTATTTTTCCTAGTTCTGTATCTCAGTGTAATTCTAAAAACAATTTAACATTTTTAATATTATCTCTTCTTAAACAGTGCCTAATCCATGCTTGGACCTGACATGTGAATTCATTTGTTTACTCAACCCTTCTGGTGCAACATGTGCTTGTCCAGAAGGTAAATCATTGGTGAATGGAACGTGCATTGATCAGAGCCTCTTAGGTAGGTATTGAAAACTGTGGGGAAACACTAAATAAACAACTAGTCACTTTTTGTCATTGCAAAAGGGTAGGCTGTCTGTGAGTCAACAGTTTCGTGATGTTGTTCGACGTACATAGTACTTATCTGAGAAGGAAGCTAAATATGAAGAAGCAAGCAATATAAAGGAGTACTGGATCCAGCTCTGGAGTACTCAGCACAAGAAAGACTTGGACCTGTTGGAAAGGGTCCAGAGGAAGCCACAAAAATGATCAGAGGGATGGAACATTTCTCCTATGAAAAAAAACCAGGAGAGCTGGGGTTGTTCAGCCCAGAGAAGAGAAGGCTCCGGGGAGATCTTATTGTGGCCTTTCAGTACTTAAAGGGGAACTGTAAAAAAGATGGGGACAAACTTTTTAGCAGGGCCTTTAGTGATAGGACAAGGGATGATGGTTTTGAACTAATGAGAGTAAATTAAGACTAGATGTAAGGAAGAAATTTTTTACAGTGAGAGTGTTGAAACACTGGCACAGGAGAGGTGTTAGAAGCTCCATCCCTGGAAACACTCAAGGTCAGTCTGGACGGGGCTCTGAGCAACCTGATCTGGTTGAAGATGTCCCTGCTCGCTGCAGGAATTTTGGACTAGAGGACCTTGAAAGGTCCCTTCCAACCCAAACTATTCTATGATAAACAAAATCCTTGATACAAAAAAAGTATTTATATTAATAAAAATTTTAAAATGAGCAGCTTTCAACTCAACTGATACAAGATGATATTTAAATGTAAATGTGAGTATGTATTAACCAAATAAAGTTTTAAAAGCTGTAAAGTGTTTTGGATTCCAAATCGAATATTAGCCATTCAGGAGAAAAAAATAACCATAAAGACCATCAAGAAACTTCTGCTTAGACTGCAACAATAAGCAAAAGGCCATAAGAGCAGCACAGCAAATAATAATGACTTGAAAGTAACAGGCAAAAAAAGAAAAAAACTACTGAAATATTTTTACCTAAAATTATATCTTTCAGTAACATCCAGTAATGACTAATATCAAGACACAGGAAATCAGACTTTGTGGTAAAAGAGTAACTAAGTTCTTGCTATATTTTAGGGAAAAAAAAAATCTTTTTCATAGAAGATGATGAGTAAGTACTCTAAAACCATTCCCACTCTAATTGAGACCAAACCTCAGGTGGTCAGACAGCTGAAATGAATTCTTAGCCAGCTTGAATCTGAAAAGGTTCCAGAAATCATAGATTAGGATTTCTTATGTGTATGAGAAGTCAGAATGTATTAGAAAATTTTTCTAATGTAGTCAGAAGTGTAAGTGATACATATTTTGGTGAGATCCTCAGTACTTAAAATGCTCAATTTAGCAATTAAGTTTATTTACCTGAAATGTCATAATTCTGGGGAGAAAACCTCACCTATTTATTCTGCCTAGTCTTTAAATATTGAATTAGTACAACTGTGTTTTAGTGTTTTATGATGAGGTATTTATAAATGCTGACTGGCAGCATTTCTCTTTCTGTATCAATAAATTTAAGAATAATTTAGAGAGTAAAACAATATTAGAAAAGATGTCCTAGATAACAAACCCATTCATTATTTTTCTTTATGCAGGAGCACCTTGTGTGCAGTGCATTTACAGTACAAACTTATATGTATTACACCATGCTCTAGCAAAAAAACAGTAAATAAAAAGCTTTATTACTGTATCCCCTTGGCTGAATACCTAGCAGTGTGTATTTATATAGTAGTTATACAGCTATAAAGTAGCTTACAGCTGGTTTACATCAGTTTCCACTGTTAGGGGAGAAGTGACGTCACAGAACTAGATGCAATAGAAAAGATTAGTATACTCTACAAGGTTTGTAACTCCTGAGACAAATCAGTCTAAACATCCTTTGTCTTCAGAGAGCACTTACCCTCCCAGCCCCTCCAAGTATCAGCAAGGTTTTCTGCTGATACAGTACCTACCACCTAAAAGTTATTTCAGATTACTCATAGTTACTACTTAGGTGTTGAAGAAAGGCCAAATAAAAGAATATTGTTTTTCACTGGTGACTGGTAGTAATGCGAACCTGTAATGTCAATAATGCTTCAGTTTTACTAGTGGAGCAAAGATTATACCACAGTAGAGTTTTCAGGAAGGTTTGGGTTTTTATTAGAGAAAAATCTGAGGAGGCTTTTAAATTATTTCACTGCTGGTTGTAAATTTTTATGGATAAACTGAAAATGCCTAGAGAAGCATTTTTAATATATTGATAATTTTCAGTATCTTCCCACAGCAGCAGTATCAGTTATGCCTTTTTAAAGGACTGCTGAATAAGTGTTTCTTAAGTTTCTGATTACAATTATATTTCAAGTAATGTCTAGCATAGGCTTTTATATACATTTTGTTCTTGTATTTTATTTATGTAATAGTAGATGGCAGGTTTTGTAGCCTCACAGATTATAAATTATGAATTGAAACAAGTCTCAGTATCGTAGCACACTAACAAGTATATGTTTTAACACTATTTTAATTTTTTTTAAAGTATGTGGTGGTTGTTAAGTTTGTCTCATGCTGACACTCCACTTAGGCTTCCAAGGATCAGCAGAGATTCCTGGAAAGATCAGAATTAGCCTCAAGATCAGCATCCTCAGTTAATACGGGTTTATAATTAATGTCTGTCTGACAACCCACTTGCTGTTAATAGGTCGCTAATAGCCTGCAAACAAAAGATATAATGTAGATTATCAGTAAATGTATTTTCTTATTGGATGTCAAGTTCTAAACCAGGTGCTTTTCCTTTAGGAAGTGTTACAGTATGGAATAAAAAATAAATAAATAAATAAATAGCCATAGCCTTTCTTTCCTTTTCTGATTAAGAGATAGACAATTTCTATCAAATATTCCAAACAACATATATTCAACTTGTTTAAATCTAGCATTATATTGTCTTTGCTGTCTTAGAGCATTTTTGGCATAGCTATGGATGTCACTAACCCAAAACAGCAATTTCTGCCTTATATAACTGTCAAAATCTGTATATACAATGTACCTGACATAAAGCCAAAGAGAGGTTATATAGTTGTATTTTTTGTGTTGGTCTGCAGTAAAATCCTGATTCAAAGTAAACTGAAATATTCTTGTTGATTTTATTTGTCTTCTGGTTTGTCCATAAAAACATGAAATCCAGAAGATTTTAGTTTGAGACATGATTATCTGTGAAACACTTTTTAACTGATGTATTCATTTGGGTTTTTTTACTGGTTTGATCATGATGCAGTGGTTGTGTAGTAGATAGGTTACAATGATTTACGTACGTTACATTTCATGAGATCAAAAATATACTACCACTAATTTACAGATCTGAAAACTAAGCTTTTTAAGTCTCTTTTAGTGGACATCATTCATATAGCCATAGAAGTAAGGTGTACTGGTTGTGTTGTACTTGCACAGTAGCTGTTTCAAGTTGTGTAAGAAGTCTTCTTCTAGTTTCACAAATTAGTACTAATTTTTTGTGGATATTAAGAACTAATGTGACTAAACTTTACTTTTAAAATAATATATAATTCAAGTTGCAATAGTAAACAGTAGTATATTGAACATTCATAATACATTTTAATGTCTTTAAGTATTTTGGGTCTTTTAAAGTTTATTAAAGAAGCTCGATATAGATTTCCATGACTTGACCATCGAAGTGGGACAGCCATGTCCAGTTCCCATCCATCTTGAACAGTGGCCCCAGAAGAGTCTGTGTTTGAAGATTTTGTTTTGACAATGTATATGTCTCTATCCTTGTGAAAAATGCCTTCCTCCAAATGATTATTTTCAACAATAGTATGCCACTCTTCATTTTGGTCGATTTTGCATTACTATTGCAAAGATGCCTCACACACTTTGTACACTTTCTTATTAGTCAGTCTACCTGAAGGTTGGTGACTGGGAGGTAATCTCAGTCTCGCTCTGTTTTTTGTGACTATATCCCAAAACTGAATCACATTGTAGTTCATTGGATTGTTGGGGTTTTCAACTAAATAAAATTGAGGTAAGTCTTGAAATTCTGTGTAATATTACTACTGTAGACTTGATGCATTGAGTTGATTTTTCTTCATAAATCCTATAGAAGGAATTTGAAATATTGAATCCTCAGTGACTTTCTGTGAGACTGAATCCAGATTGCTTCAGACAGCTGCTTCACCAGCATCTTGTAAAACTGATGCGGAACAGCTTTTGAGTTTGATTTGGCTTTTTCAAGCCAGAGTTATTACAACATGTGTGTTGTATCATTCTGAATGTTTTTATAACAAAACGAAAGCAAGTTCGTGTGTGTTCTTCAATAAGCCTCCATCTCATTTCTCCCTAGATTATTTTGATTGACAGAGCACACACAGTTCTTCTGTGATTTATTTTTTGACTATAGCTGGCCTGACTTTTTCAGTTTAGAATCTACCCTTTAGTTTTCAAATGGGTAGAGTATCACTTCATTTTTCTAAAAGAGACCACTAGATTTGCATCCATTAGGTTTATTGTATCTAATTGCCGGTAGCACGATGAAGCTAAAAACATACCAAGAGGATGAAAATACAGAGACTTGTGCTGGAGGAAGACAGTGTGTACTACAGCTGAATGGCCAAGAGTAATGAACACTTCCAAGAGTTCAGTATTTTGGAGCTCCACGTTTATCGCTTTCTTTTTAAAAAGGGAATATTTTTGCTCTCTTGGCTGGATGAAAACCCTGAGAAAAATTACAAAGACTCAGATGTTGCTTCTGAACGGAGATGAAACATTTAATTTATCATAGTGTTTCCTTCAACACATTTCTGTGGGGACTTGCCCACTGCACATGTAGATTGCAAGTGCTCTAGCTGGTGATGTTGAGGTGAATCCCTATATCCCTTCTTTTTCAGACAAAGTCTGCTTCAGGGAGCTGTACTAGCAAAAGCTGTGGCAGTTCAATCCATGCCATCTTCTTGATTTCTGTCCTGCTTTCAGTCTTTTTAGCTATCAAATATAACAGGTTAAATACAGAAAGCTACTTCTGATTTGAGAAAAGTCTTTTGTTTACAGCAGTATCTTCTGTATTTACAAAGGGCTTACCATTGGCACTGGTATTTCTCAGAACAGAAGACAATGGGCGTTGTTACAGCAGGTGTCATTAGTTTTTTCTCTCCGTGCATCCTTTTCTTAGCCCTTCTCTTCCATTTATAATTGTAAAGCAAACAGATTTTTAAAGGGAAAAAAATACGAATTGAAAACAAAGAAGGGAGTCTGTCTTACAGCATTCAGACAAAATTTGGGGATTACAACTTTTTCTGATAAACTTCAGCAAATGGAAAACTGGCAGATAGTAAGACCCTCATCTAGAGGGGCAGGAAGATTTATACAACCTTACCCTAAGATTAAAATTCTTCACTGTAATAGATGCATTTAGCCCAATAAAGGATAAGCTACACACTTATCTGAAGCACAGGCAAGACCAAATATGTTTCTGTGCCATGACATGAGTATTTTCCACTGTGGGGAGGAAAACTGTTCTTGTCCCAAAGAACAAAGAATGTAGTTCATTGATCTTGTGCTCCATAGCATCATCTCTCCATTTAACTGTCTAATCTGGAAATCAGTGGATATTTTAAAGGGGAAAAAGTCGCAAAAAATATATTTCTCTCCAGAAAGAAAGTCTTGTTATAGAAATGCCAATAAAAGATGTGTATGTGATTGGGGGAGAGGGGTGGAATATAAAAAAAAAAAATTGAACGAGTGAGGGAAAAAATACCAGCAAAGTTCACAAAGTCTTGTTTTGCTGCTTTATCAGTGTTTTTTGTGTGTAAGATTTTCCTTTTGCTTTCAATTAAAGGAAAGAGTAAAAGATGGAGCAAATAAGCCATGCGTCCATTAATATTTGTGTCAAATAGTCATATTAGGAAGAAAAAAACATGAGAAAAACTGCAAATCAAAGTTATTTAATTCTTTATTAAAGATATATTAAGATTAAAATAAGTAAATCAAGATAGCAGAAGACTAAAATCAGACTAGGAGAGAATATATAAAATTACATGACCTGTAACCCTTTCAATTCTTTCATGTTAGAGAGATCCAGTAGGTAGACTAGGAGTAGTATGATGAGTGAAATTATTTACTTCTGTCATTTCAGAAGTGAAAAAAGCAGCAGCTGAGAGGTCTTTGAGTCCAAGTTCCAGCAAGCTCAGACCAGTATTGAATTGATGCCAGACAGAAACTTTTCTGTTTTTTGGGGTTTTTTTTTAAAGAAACTTTGTTCTAATAGTGGATACTTCAGAGAGCTGTTCCCAGCTCTTCTCTCAGAGGTCTTTATTCAGTAATTCAAATGAAGAGTATTCAGCTTTTTATAACAGTTCTTCTGTATGTCTGTCCTGTATTCTTTTCCTTCCTGTCTTCTATGGGACTGTTCTGCTCCTGTCTCCCACACAAAGGCATCTGATCCCCTTTTGTACTCAGTTGATGAGAATCAGCAAGAGTAATTTGATTCTTGTATTTACGTTCAGACAACAAAGCATCAGCATTAAAACTCCTATATTGTTAAAGTCTAACATAGTATTTTAAAACTGGCTTATTATTCATTACATCTTTCAATCCTATTTCTAAGCTTATTTAAAGTCAGAAATTGTTGTAGTAACTTTTCTGTGTTTCATATTAGTGTTACAACTTTTGAATTTAAAATGTTTTGTAGAGAACAAAGTCAGTACTGAATTTTAATAATCCTGTGATGATACAAAATATTACAAACATTTTTGTTTTTTCAGGAACTTTCTCAGTTGAGCATTGTATAAAGTTATAACATATATTGCATTTTAAAAATATAAGGCGTGAGTGTCCAAATCTTTGAAAGCCAGTTAGATTAGAAAATTGTTACTATGGGCAATTTTTGGCTCAGTATAATTTCCTAAGAATATGAAGGCATATATTTCTTGGTCTGATTAGGGTAACTTTCAAGTTTGTAGTTCATGTTTTATAGTTCTAAATATGCCTTTTGATACTCTGTTTTTCTCATAGTCTGTATTAATTTCCACTTTTTTTTTTTTTTTCCTCAAATTTTATATCTTAATTCTGTGGAATTGCTCTGGAAGAGAAATATAACATTTTTAATGTGCTATCAGAAGGGTTCATAAAAATGAGCACTTTTCTGTACTTTAGTGTTATTTATTCTCTTTTTACCAAGTTCTGCTCTATAAACTCATGACTAATGATAAGTAAAATAGATAAGATAAGCAAAACAAAAATAGACCTTCTCTCCAATAAGATATGCTACATTATCCATTTAAACAACTTCTATAATGAGTAACTGAAGAACGGTTCATGGAACATCAAAGGATTTAATGAACCACCCAAATAAATAAAACACCAAAGCATCCTCAAACTCCCAAACACAAAGTGGCTTTGTTACAGCAGATGTGTGTATCCAGAGTGGATACCAAAAAATTAAGCGTATATGGTATTTTGTATTTATATTGTAAAACACCCGAAATAATGATGTGTCAGTCAGTCCCCCACAATAACTTCTTGATTTGTTGCCTAGTTTCAGCTTAATTTGAGAAATACAATTGCCTGAAAGATGATTGGTTCCCAGGAGTCTTGTTTAAATAAGTTTGATCCCAAGTTACATGTCTGCACCCCTTCAGCACTGGCCACGAGCCAAGGCAGCCAGACCCTGCTGAGGAGGGGTGTCTATGGGCAGGAAGGGGAGACTTGTGCATCCACAGAAAAAGCTGCTGCATAAGCACAGTTCTATTGCTGGACTCTGCAGAGTCCACGTTGGAGAGAACTATTCAGCTAGAGGATATCCGACATTCCAAAATTCTGCACTTACATAAAAAAAAAAAAAAAGGAGTTGATGTGCCTGGGTCTGTCAGTATTAGATCTCAAAATATATAGGACAAGTGGGAACTTTGACTCTTTTTCACTAGGTATTTAACAGAAACAGATTAATTCAGTAAAACATCTGCAGCTGGTAGATGTATTACTGAAAAGTTCTCACTGTTTGTGGCATCCCTCTCATTAAAAGACACGTGGGTTCAAATGCTGGATTAGTTAGGCAGCTGTCTGGCTTCACAGGATTTGTTTTGCTGTGTGAGAAATGGAAAGTCTTATTGCTGAAAGAATGTTTTGGGCTGGAAAGGTGCTTGTCTGTTTCTTTAGGATTACAATTATTTGGATGTTTGAGCATTGTATGCATGCTGGTCTCTAATTAATTTCTTGTTGGTGTCATTGAATGATTTTATTTCTTCTTCACTGAGATGAATAGAGATTTATTTTTCAAAGTGTTTCCAAGACAGGCACAACTCTAATTGCAAATCAGCTTTATAGAAATATTGAATCTGACCTAATCAGAATTTTTGTCACCTTGTACCTCATCGCTAAGATGGTGGCAGTACTGCTGTAAGCACTCGGTGAATGCAGAGCAGCAGGCAGTATCTCTTCTCAGTGATTTTATAGACTGAGCAGATGAGAGTAAGAATAAATCAGAAAATATGGTTTAGGAGCAACAAGTTAGTATGCAAATATCAATTTTTGAGGAGGATTTAAAGGCTGAATAATTTCCTTTGAAATATTTTGGATAGGGTTTAGTTAAGAAGGATGTTAGTTAATAGAGCAAGTGGAAGAGAGATCCAAAAAATCAAAAAGGAAAAGGCTGAGGTCACTAGAAAAGGACTGGGAAGTTTTCTGAGATCCCTCAGGTGAAACCAAGATTCACTTTTTCATTTCTTAAAGTAACTAGGAATGATAGTTTCAAGCAAGAACCCATACTGTCCTTACTAACTTACATTCTAAGGAGGTCAACTTTCCTGTGGCGTCATTTGGAAGAAGCATAACTGCCGTGCTCAGGCCCCTACCTTGGTACGGTACGAGCTCACATCCCTGCTGTACAGGCTGGCACAGCTCCTACCAACCATCTCCTAAATGTGTCCTTTTTTTTCCTAGCACTGTGGAAACAGAAGTGATTGTTTACTTTCTCCATTTTGAAAAGTGATATTTTTTCCCCCCACTGGTAGAGATCTGTAACTCTGTTTAAGATGCAGGGTTCTCTTTTGCCAGTAACGTGAAATGGGATTGTTGAAAACAGCTCTGTGTGTGTTTTCTTGCTGCAGATGATACCTGTAAACTAACCTGTGAAAATGGAGGAAAGTGCATTATAAACGAGAAGGGGGATCCCCGATGTCACTGCTGGCCAAGTTACTCTGGTGAAAGGTGTGAAACCAACCATTGCTACAATTACTGCCAGAATGGAGGAACCTGTGGAGCCTCTCTCCTTGGTAAATATTTCTGAGCAGCTGTGTCTTACTATTATACCTGCCTTAATTCAAATGTTTCAATTAGTTCCTTGTTTGTAATTTTTTTTTTCCTCTTTGTAACTTATTTGCTTTGTCTGTACTTAAATGATGTGCAATATAGAGGTATATACCATACTTACTTTAGAATCAGTAGTGCTTTTCGTTCACATATCTCAGTGTTTTGGCAGAATTAAGCTGTATCCCAGAAAAGGAAGCGTGTAAGTAATTATTCATTATAAAGATGCACACGTTGTGGTACAAAAATGGAATTGTAAAGCATAAGGTCCAGTTAGACTATACGAGGAACAACTCCACACATCTTGCTCTCTGTCTCAATTCTCCCTCTGTATTTTTACATGCATACACAGGGATATTTCCTTAAATTACAGAGTTGTGTGTCCTTAATCATTTACCTTTGGTTGATCAGAATTAATATCCTTTGTTTTCCTGAAGGAATTTGATATCACATCTCCTGTCTTCAGGGAAATGATCCTAACTGTCAAAAGGAGGATGTTTGGCAGCTGATCTTTGTCCCTAACATGTAGACTGTTGTAGCTGGTATAATGCCATTATGTGTTTGGGCTAGAGAGGGAAAACATGATAAGAGGCAGTCTAAAATTTAGTAATTATATGAGAAAGGAGAAGTTGAATTCTATTTTCTGCTCCAAGGAATATTTAAATATTTGATTGAAAGTAGAACAGCTAGAGAAGAGTTTGCTGTCTCCTCTCTTCTCAGAAGCCTATCAGCTGCTGAAAATGGTGAGAATAATTTTCTCCTATGTGATGACCAACACCCTGATCTCTGTAAGAAAAGTGCAGGCACCTGGCTTTAGAATACGAGTTTGTAGCTGTTCAGCACAAGAAGAAAGAGCTCTCTGTAATGCAGAATTATGTATCTTAGTCTCTGTGACTGAGAAGGCTTAAATCTCAATGGGTTTTTTTAGCACTCCTTACTAATCAACTTTAGCTTATACAGTTTAGTCATTTAGCTTCACTTGCTGGCTTCTTTGAAGCCTCTTATTTACTGAGATGTGGTGGCAAAAATCCAAGTGAATGCAAATCTGGTAGTCTGTTGTATGCCAGAAGATTTTTCATTTCTGAGTATTTGAGGGTTAATAATGTTGTTCATAGTTAACATCACTTATAATGACTAAGTATTAGAAAATGAGAATTACTTGTACTTGAAGTTGATCAATTATGCTTGAAACTGCTTCTAACAGCTGATGGAACTACTGACACAAATGATAAGCAGCGATTTTTATCAATGTAGGGAGGTCAATACATGTTTAGCAAGAACATGCAAGTGAATGAGAGAAAGTCACAGGTGATTTAAGTGATGTGCAGAGCTTCCTTGTCATTTGAGGAGAGGATATTTACTCCCACATCTTTACATGTCTGGCATCTAATACCTTTGTGGGGTTAAATGGCTTCATAAAATTAGTAACTCAGCCCCTTGAAGGCAGCTCAATTATGAATCCTGCAGAAACCCCAGGGTTTTATTTAATCCTTTTCTTTTGGCCGTAGCCATAGGGCTTGCTCACCTCCAGCAGCTCGTGTTTTCATTACCAGGCAGCTAACACTTGCTGTGCTCACACAGCTATGCTATCACCTGGATTTCCACCCGCCCCTTACCCCCTGCTACATCCAGCCTCTGAAATCTCTGATCCTTGCTGAAATAATTAGTGGGGTAGGTTTGGTCACTAGTGAGTAATGGAGAGAGATGAGTAGATTCTATAATATACTTCTCCTAAATTGTTTATCATGGCCCCAGCTGCTACAGAGGGCATTAGTCTTATTTCTGCTTGGTCTTTGCCTGCACCAAAAATGCATGAGAGCCAGAATGGATGTCACCACAGTCCACATCTCACTGTTCAATTGCAGGATTTATGGTAATCCAAACCTTGACCTGAAACTAAAGTTTACTGTACCACTCATGGCCAAAGTGTGCCAAGCTTTTATGAGCCAAGACCAGCGTAGAGCTGATTCTGATGACTCTTACTGGGCGTATCTGCTAACAGGAATATTCTTCTGCTGTGCTGTGTCCACTTTCCCAATTTAATGAAAATTCCATAGTAATATTTCAAGTTAACCAAATTTCCTATCTGCCATTTCCCGTTCATGAGGGTAGCTGTGCCTTGAAGCCCATGCCATAACTTCCATGTGTTGGAGATGTGTAGGAAATGACCAGATATCTTTCTATATCAAAGTGATTTAATCCAGCATTCCAGATAAAATTTTCAAATTGATCCACATCTCATCTTCCTTGCATGAATAGCCCCTGGACCCTGTAATTATTCTATTAAGAAGAAATCTCTATTTTTTATCAGACCATATTTCTTATCTATATCAGGCCATAAATTGTGTGTTTCTGAAACAAACTAGCATGTCAGTGAGGTGTCCCCTTATCCTAGTTTAATCTAATCCATTATATACTAAAGCCATTATGTATCTTACAGAGGGAAGCTAACCTGGACACCCCAAAAGTATTGAAATCTGTAATTAAGTCAACAAAGCTTAATTCCTCGAGTGTTTTTGCAAGAACCATTTCCTCTTTCCAGTCAAATACACCACTGTGCAAAGCATGTTGTTCAGTCATGGCATCAGTGAGTGCACATTTAGCTGTAGGAGCTGCACACACCATTCCCAGCTTGGACTGAGGGTGTGAAATCCAGAACAAAGGAGTTGTTCAGTCACTTCCTTCTCATTGTCTCAGCCTTCAAAGCAGAGTTGATCTCCTTTGTCAGGTTCATATGAGTGTCATTAGTGTACATGCTACTTTATTCTTGTGTGTTACTACATGTAGGAATAAAAAGCTTCCATATTACCAGGAATTTATTCAGTTTTTCCTTAGTGGTTGTAGAAATTCAGCATTATATTGTGTCTAGATTTATATTACATCCTACCAGGTTGACCCGTCCACTAGTAATAGGTACATTGCACACTTTTTGGTTTTGTTTTGGTTTTTTGTTTGTTTGTTTCTGTTTATTAGGTTGGTTGGTTTTCAGTTGTTTGGTAAAGAATTATTTCACATTTCTGGAAAGTATAAAATTCCTATTTTAGAATGAAGTCAGCTCAATGTCATCGTAATTTCTTCTGCCATGCTATTGCTATCTGTGCATACCACCTCCCATACTATCATGCTCACAACCAGTTCCTCAAAAAGCAGCATTTATACTTTTGATCCATTATACAACTGGCTCATCAAACTGTCCTGCTCAACTGATGCAATCAAGTTTCACATATTTTCCCAATTTTATCTTCTTTTAAAATTTGTTTTTGTTCAAAATGATGAAACCTTTTCCTCTGGAAGTTGCAGGAGCCATATGTGTGCGAGTGCCAATTCAAATCCTATCTGCAAAATATAAATAACTCGTGGTAATTTCAGCTTGCTTGACTACGTCTTTCTCACAAGTTCTGATTGCCTTTATCAATTCTCATATATTATCCAACTCAAACAGCTTTGATGTAGTCAGTCTAACAAGTGTCATTGTACACAGGTGGTCTTTGGAAAGCTTAGGGGCAGCCAGTAAATTTAGCCTCCTGGGAGATGAGTTTCTGCAGGGGGCCTCCTGCTGGGACACGTCTTTGGAAGTCAGGAAATTTCCTTATTGTTGGCTTCTGGCTTAAAAACCGAGGAAGAGATATCCTGAAAACAAACCTTTCATCATGTTCTAATATAAATAAAATGACACAGCACATAAAATGCTCTTCTAGTGAATGTGTGTGTTCTAGTGAATGTGTAAATCCCGTTCTCTTTCACCACCTAACAGTAATGTGATAACCAATTAAGTAAATTGCAGAGTATTACTCATTTTTTAAAACATGATTGTGCTAAATCTTTGCTGGATGTGGTAAGTTATAGAACCTCATTATCTGCACACAAATGTTAATTTGTTAAACAAATCCCACTGGCAATTCAGGGATTATTCACTGTTGGTTTACTTTACTGCTAAGCCTTTTGGCAAATTCCTATGTGAACATTATATAGCTGGAGATTGGGGCAGCTTTAATTAAAATTTATAAGTTTATGACAGTTATATTGAACTACAATAATTGAACAAAGAAAATGTCATCAGTTAATTAAAAGTACACATCTGAGACATGTAATTAAAAGTTTAGTATAATAATGAACACTTTCCAGTAAGCCAAATTAATGGGAATTTGGAAAAAAATTCAATGTTACCATAAAAATGCACTTTCTTTTTTCCTTACAGTTTAAAGTAAAAATATGGCAGCAGTAATTTACCAAATGTCTGGAACATGTTCACTAGATCTAGCTAGTTCACAAAATAGATAAATACATGTTTTTGCTCTACTTACAGTACAAAGAGTATGTCTAACCACTTAGAATTGTGATATTTTGTATCAAAATGAGTAAAAAATTATGTCTTTCCACTAAATGAAAATTGATGTAATATATTTTCAAGAAATAGTTATATATAAAGTAGATATTGTTTTATATTCTATTTTTTAAGCCAAACAAGTTGAGTTTGGGACATGATGGTGCATACTGGAAACATTCAGGGAAGCTGTTTACTTTGCTAATGTCGTATCAGTCCCAGTAGTCTCAAAGGTGAATGTTACATCCTCTTGCCACCACGACGGGGTGGTGATACTTACGGTAGGCTGGTGTCATGGAAGAAATAAATAATCTCTGTCTTGGTGCAGGCATTTGTTTGGATGATCTCGTTTTTCCAAACTTTCAGAAAGCTTTCAAAAATAGTGCTATTTCCCTAAAAGATTTTTTTTTTTTAAATTGCAAAATACCTTATGTGGTCATACAAAATACATGATATTTCTCTGTTGTTTAGGCACTAGCATGAATCAAAGTTGATCTTCTTAGAGTTCTCTTCATTATAAAATAAATGTAAATAGGAGTTTAAGATAGATGAGTAGATTCCCAAAAGAAATCACCCAGATATTACAAAGACAGGGCACTAAAATATTTATTAGCTATTTCTGAAAGTGATTTGAAAAGTTATTTGCTATTATATAGCAAATTAAATTGGCAAACTAGGAGTAACTACAGCCTCTGTGATCAAAACCTCATTGAACATTTTTAGGATTTTGATCTCTGTCATCTGCCTATGGATCTGTTTTCTTTGTAAGAAAAGGGGAAACTGCTTTTCATCTTAATGCCAAAAACATCATGTATTTGTTTGTGCCAAAAATAACTTCATGTGTCCTAGGGTCACCATAAAGTATTCTCCTTTAATTTACTAAATTCTGTGTAAAATGTTTGAAAAAATATGTGAGAATTTTATAAGTTTGTTTGAAGTTCTATCATTTCTAGAATTAAGATAAATGCTGTAAATTATTATTCTTATTCTTTTGAGAGGCTACATAGAGAATCTTCAGATAATAGCAACTTTCAAGTACATTGTTTCCACAGAGAATTTTCATTATTATTTTCGTTACTTGTTCTATATGTCTTCCCAGGCACCCTTTACTGTATTCTCTGGAATTCATTTCTTTAGAGTTGTTATTTAGAATTATTTTAAATGCAAAATATTCTCATCAATATAGGGCCTACATGCATTACGTGTCCACTTGTATATACATATAGTGAGAAACTGTTGCGATTCAAGATAGCAAATCACCAAGTGCATGCACATTCATTGTAAATCATTCAGAATGTAGACATTCTTGTCAAAAAAAAAGACATGCTTCTTGCTCTCTAGATAATATTACTGTGGTTTTCAAATTGGAACATTTACATGTGATGTGCTCAGAATGTGCTGCCACATTGTCCACATTGACAAATAACATTTTTCAACATAGGTAATTGAAATAGAAAATTTTTCTTGGTGTTATTATGTTGCAGAAGAGGCTAAAGAGGAGGATAAGAGAAAGCTAGCATGCTAATCTGTAATAGGCAGAGGAAAACAAGACAGTGTTCTCATACAGTAAATCCAGTTGAGGATCACAATGAAGAAGGAAGAGCTCAAAACAGGGAAATTTTTTTGTGTTTTCTTTCAGAAAATTCTTTTCGCTGCTTGTTTGCATAAAACACACCATAAGATGGTTAACTGAATTTGAAACAGTTTAACATTCCTCAAACCACTTTCCTTACTATTTTTTGGTACTGTAGTGTGTTGTGAATGTTTCTGTGGTGGCAAAGGTCAGGAATTAAGAGAGAATTTTACTTCTGTCTCTGTACAGCTCTAATCCTGAAACCTCATGACCAGTGTAAATGCTGAAGTTTTAAGCACATGGGATTTCCATGCAATGTTTGTTAGTTAGGATACGTGACATCTTAGTTAACATGACTGTTTCCTTTGCAAACATAAATCAATATTCTGATTCTATGATACAAAACCTTATGATGTTGTTTGCCATTGTTTAATACTACAATTTTATTAAACTGTTCTTGGAACCATTTTGTATCAGAAATAATTTATGAGAATAAGGCAGATTATTATTATTATTATTATTATTATTATTATTATTATTATTA